GCTACTATTAAAAACTAGAAAAATACTTTAGAAATATGATATGACAAACTGTTCACATTTTGGAAAAGTAGTACCATTTGGAACTATTTATAAAAGGTAAAACTTAGACTAGTATTACAGCCAAATGCTAGACAATAAAATGCTGTGTAGTTAATTTTCATCGTTAATTATTAATGATACCTATTGATGAATTAGGCAAATATTCTTCGTTACAAAATATATCGATTCAGAGATCAAACAATAGATGACTTAGGGACCGTTCATAATTATTTGTTTGGTAAAAACCACAAAGTTGTTATACAATTTTATATTTTTTAATATGTATATATATATTAATTATAAATTCCAACACTCTAGTATCTTTATATATATATATATTTACATGTAGGCCCATCTATATTTTACAAAATTATATACTCTGCCTAAGCAGTAATTCCTCCTATTGATTCAGATCTATGGTCCTCCCATGTTTGCGTGTACAGGTAGTGTCATACAACTGTCATAGTTTCGATACATTTTTAGATGATAACCTGACAAGGGATATGTTAATATATAACACATTTTAGCGACATATTAGCTTTGGCAAGTGTTAAATTTGAAACATCTGGAAGGCCCTTCTGTTGAGATCTGCACGCACAGTCGATTCCCGATTTATAATGTATGGTAAAATGTTACCTTACTACGAGTGTTTTGTTGAGTAGGTCATCACCTTGCTTGCCTAAAAATGGTAGTTTTAACTATCAGTGATCTATAGCAAGTGTTTATTTGACTCAATGCTAGTATTCAATAACTTATGAGTTTGCGGGAGAAAAATAAGTATAGTAGGCCCAGTGGAATGCTATATATGGTATTGTCCAGCGAATGTTCGACATATAGAAGGCATGCGGGTTCAAAACACCGGGCTACTGACCTAAAGTCATTTTTATAAATAAAAAGTAACACATACTTTACAAAACAGAGTTCACTGACAGTACCCAAAGCTTCCAGGATCACGAACAATGTGATTCATAATGTAATTCAGGATCTTCCGGGAAATGAGTGATTCCTGCTTACACCTGCTGTTAAGGCAAATAGAAAACTCTTGTTTGTGCTTTTATGGCCGCATAAGCAATACCGTAATTTTCATTTATATTACAATACAATACCAAACACTGAAGTTCGGAAGCATTTGGATATTTTACATGAAAGCACGTAGACCATCTGCTTTGATCATATTCTACAATCAATTACATGTATGGTACTTTAGGGACCGTCCATAATTTCTTGTTTAGTAAAAGCAACACATTTGTCACCCCGTTTTATATTCTTTCATACATGTTAATTATAAATTCCAACCATTTAACAATCTGGAAATATAAAAAGAGTGTATTTCTACAACAGTTTACTGACCCCGTACTTCAGTATTTTCTGATTATAGTGCATCATAGTTTAACTAAATAACCTGCATCTATAATTTTGGATAGAGTTCGTTTAATTTTTGTGTTTGAAAAGGAAGTATAAGATATGACATGTTTACTTGCACGATTAATGATTTAAAACTCACGATCTGTCAGTTTCAGTAGCTACATTAAGCCTATTGGACAATGCCGTGATCATAAACTTCGCGGTGTATCATAAGAACATCGCGAACAAAACACAAATTATTCAAATTACCGTTATTTTACAATAAGATATAATATATTTACAAGGACAGTTTTGTAAAATGGCCTCATTTACAAGTATGCAGGAATTTTAATCGGTTTTACTTCCTTTTCCTTGTTAGGTATTCCATGTTGTTTTAAAGTAAACGAATGAAGGTAAAAGACGACTGTACTAACGTATAATACCTTACTGCTTTCTGGTGTCGTCATACAATTTAATGAATAGGTGACCATCAAAGAAAGTTTGTTGACTTTTGAAGCAAACTAAACAAACAATTTCATACAAGAGAGTAGAGTACTTGAATACCTGATATACATATATATTACTTCTCATTTTACATAAACTAATACATCTCAACAATAAGCTTTTGTTGATGTAGAAGGCGTTTCGAATTCAAAACGATCAGCGAAGATGTGTTGCAAAGTAAAATCGTGCAATGATAACATTATATTTCTGAATAAGTAAAAACTGGGATGAGATCGACAATGATTTCAGCCCACGTTTCCCAAGCTTTCGAGGCTCATTTGAATACATTTTCAGCTCTAATGTTACGGACGTGGGTTTGAAGTACGCTCCGTCTCGGGAAATTGCTTGATTACAAAAGACTGGATATCATCCGTACTTCAATATTTATGACCAGTCATGCTAGTCATGCTCATCAAAAAATAAAGTTTTACATCACAAGTTACTTTTAAAAAACAGCTGCTGTCCTATCTCTTATAGGAGACTTAACACATTATGTACTGGGAATGTATTCGTAGGGGACAAGCAGAAATAAAACAAAAATCTTTAGGAAACCCGCAAATTGTATGTTACATGTTCGCCTGTGAAACAGCACATATAAATTAAAGTTGAAAACACAACACTTATAGACTGGGGATGTATTCGTAGGGGACAAGCAGAAATAAAACAAAACTCTAAGAAACCTGCAAATTGTATGTTACATGTTCGCCTGTGAAACAGCACATATAAATTAAAGTTAAAAACACAACACTTTTAGACTAGCGCCTAACCATTTAAACCTATTCTGAATTTTTCAAATGTGTTTCTCCTTTTGAGTTCCGTTAATCCAAGATCCCTTTGTCAAATGATCGAGCCTCTACACCGGGAGGTTATATTTTTTTTCTCGCCTTGTTTGAAACGTCATTTTTTTCAATTATAAATTAGATAATTTTTCTTTTAATTACCTAGAAGCATGAAGCCTGTGTTTATATAGAACTTTTATTTTTAAGTTGAGCGGTTTGTTTGCTTTAATCGCAAAGCCTAATGGTCTACCTCTGCTTGCTCACCGAAGAATCGAACCCCATATCTTAGCATTATAAACTGTCAAGCTGACGCGAAGCCACCAGTAGAGGGGGCAAGTTGAAATATTTCATGAAATTACGTTACAGTTTTATAGAAATAGATAGCTTTCAACAGCACTCTAATAAAGAAAAGACTTTTTTTTTTGTTTGGAATTAAGCACAAAGCTACACAATGGGCTATCTGTGCTCTGCCCATCACGGGTATCGAAACCTGCTTTCTAACGTTGTAAGTCCGCAGACATACCGCTGTGCCAGTTGGGGGGGGGGCTAAAGGAAAGACTACTATTCGAAAACGTTCAAAATTGTAATCGTTTTCTAATGAGGTATATTGCTTTTTTCATTTATGGAAAATAGCATTCTTTCTGTTTTGGGCATACTTACATTTTTAAGGCACAAGGTGTAATCTCAGTGTATTGCTACTTGTATGTTACACAGTTACGTTTTGTTTGATTCATAATTTTTGCGCAATGTTACGCGAAGAGGTGTATGCCCATAGCCGCTCCTAATTTTGATGTGGTTTGGTTTGCTTTTAATTTCGCGCAAAGCTAGACGAAGGTTATCTGCGCTAGCCGTTCCTAACTTAGCAGTGAAAGACTAGAGGGAAGGCACCTAGTCATCATCATCCACCGCCAACTCTTGAGCTACTCTTTTACCAACGAATAGTGAGATTGACCGTCACATTATAACGCCCCCATGGCTGAAAGAGTGAGTATATTTGGTGGGACTGGGATTCTTACCCGCGATCCTCGGATTGCGAGTCAAGCGCCCTTGTGTAACTTCATGCTGGGCCAATTTTGATGCGATACTAGAGGAAAACTCAACAGCACCCACCACTAATTCCTGGGCCACTTTTTTTCTGATCAAATATTGGAATTTGACAGGAACTATTATAGGGCACCCACGTCCCCAAAGTGCGGAGTGCGGTTTTGCAGCAACGTGTCTCTACAAGTTTAATTTTAAAACATATAAGCCAAATAAGAATATTTCATTCTATGGAAAAAGTTATTTTTGGATACAAGAGCAAATATGAAAATCAATAATCCATGAGAAACTATTATCTGTTAGATACTTAGAGAAATAACATTTAGGTATACATTTTTGTAGCCCAGTCTTTAGAAAGAAATCGATAAATTGAAATCAAAACGACTAGTGGAAAGATAATATTATTTTCCTTAATTCGCGCAGTCGTTTTTTAACTAATTAAGTAGCAAAATTGGATTATCATTCTGAATGTTCATATGAGTAAGTTTTCTGAATTAAAATATAACAGTGACAATTTTAGCACGTGGAAGTTAGAATTTTAAGCGCTGTTTAAAAGTTAATGCATTTAACAATGAAATGATTCACTAAAAATGTTTTTGTTGTTCTTCGGCACAAAGCTGCACAATGGACTATCTGCGTTCTGCCAAACACAGGTGTCAAAACCAGATTTTTAGCTTTATAAGCCCGCACTTAGGCTTTCTACTGAGCTGCTAAAAAATGGCATGTTCACGATACTAGATCTTTTAGTGCCATCTTTTGACAGGAATCGCAGTTACTTGTGTAACTTCAGATATTTTCGCTTAGCAATCATAACCAGGGTCACTTATGGAAAAACAAACTGCTTTGAATAACTATAATTAGAATTACACTAACATAAAGTTCATATACACCAGAAAATTAATAATCAGTGTGTAAATAAACTGTCTATCTTTTTACACTTTTAAGCAATAAGATATACGGAAATTGTTTATACACTATATGTCTGAGAAGTAAAAGTCATGTACCAATAATGTCCATTTTATATTTTGTATTGTTAGTACGAAACGTTATTGAGTGGTAACTTAAAGATTATTTGGTATGCATGATAATGTGTCGGGTAGTATGCAAGAATTAATACGGTTTTTCCATCCTAATGAATATACGTATACCGTATTTTTTATGTAACTTTCCTCTTTTTTTTTGTTACTCTACACGCTCGCTGTTGAAAGCATCGTCTGAGTTCCACGAATTAGTTTCGGATAGACCTAAACTTGAAGAGGTTTAAAGATAACATTTTTTTGTTGTACTCTGAGATTGATCAACTAAGGTCATTTATTTGTCAGGTTTTACATACATTAATGATTTCTGCGAACCAAAGCTGTAAATGTTTAATCATTCTTTATACAATTTTTCTTCTACATAATAATTGAGGATTTCTTATTGAATGATCAACATTACTAGCCCATGATTCCCTTAGCCTTTTCATACAACTCGTCCCATAAGGTTCCAAGATCATCCTTGTAAGGTCTGAAGAATTCAAGGGCTTCACGGGCAACTTCGGCGCTCACATCCTTAGCGTTGTTGATGAACTGAACAAGGAAAGAAAAATAATTATAATGAGTATAATGGTAAATTGGTAAAGTCCAACAACCGTACAAATAGACTTGCTAGAACGTGCGCTACCAGAAAGAAGTGTCACTAGAAAATTCTGTACATGTACAAAATTCAACGTTCAAATCTAAATGTATTCCTTGTTCCCCAAAACTGTCATTTAGATGTAAGCCGGGTGAGCAGGAATACGCCTTTGGATCGTTGTGCTTATCTGGTTACACTTAACAACTGATAATATCTTATCATCCTAACATATATTTACTAAAACGTCAATTAGAATATACTAACTCACCTCCTGGGCGATAATTTTGACCATAGCCAGCTTGTCTTTAGCGTTCTCTAAACCGGAGTTCCAGATGGTCTTTACCCACTCAGCAAATTTGGAGAATTTCTCCTGTATCTGTAGACCCAGGTCTTTGAAAAAGTCCTTGATCTTCTGCCACAGATCAATAATGGAATGACTTGGCGCACTAGTGCAGAAATCTCGAACTACTACTTTAAGGGCTTCCACCCCACCTCGAGTCAGAGCTTCCATGAGAGTCTTCTGCCACTGAGAAAAAAATTCAATTCTTAAAAATACATTTATCTGATGCAGCAATATCAACACTGCAGACATAATCTGCTATTATAAAGCTTTTACTAATCTTCAGTAGTGAAGATTAGTGAACTTTGAAAGTTACTGAGAGGGGTTAAAAATTATTAAATACAAACGTAATTGTTAATTGGCCATAAGAAAACCTCAATCACAGTACTTAAGATTCGGCTACATTCAGACTTGGTTACTTTCAGAAAAATCTTGCTGCATTCACAATTTAGTGTGTGTGTGTGTGTTGTTATAGCAAAGCCACATCTAGAATCGAACCCCTGATTTTATCGTTGTATATCCGAAGACTTATCGCTGTTCCAAGGGGAAGCGTTTACAGTTAAGGGCGGGAAAAAATGGCGAAAAAAGTCAATGATGATGAACACTCTTTCTCCGATATCTATGATATAGTAGAGATTTTCTGAAGAAGCGAAATTGAAATCTTAGTGTAAATTTCTGAATCTTTTTGTTCTTGGAAAAGACGATGATAAGCAGTTTAATTATAGACATAGATGACATACTTTCAAGTGGATTAATCATATTTTAAGAAGTGAAAATTTTATTTTAACAGAACGATGTAACATCCGTAATATTTAGAATAGTTAAACCATATAAAATAATGTTTGTATATTAGCCTTATACTTACGTCCTTGCTGAACTTGTTTCTGATGAAAGTAATAATCTGGTCCAATGGAAGGTTATTCATCAGCTGAAACAAGAAACGAGAAAACAAACGAATCTTCACTTTCAAGTTTACATATTTGGTTTTAGTTTCTCACATTCGTATGTTTGTTATGCCTAGATTCAGTTGATAAGTGTTGCAAAGCGTAAATTATTTTATCTTCCTTAATGTGCAATATTAAATCTTTTCGCTTGGACTCTGGAACTTTGAATCAAAACGTGCAAATTCCTGGGAGTTTATTTAGATGCAAGTAGGTAGTTGGATATCTTACCATTTGTAGAAGGCTGCAAACCTCCGACTTTACGCTATTTGATGGGTTGTAGGATGGTAGGATCTTCCTCAGAAGATCTTTCAAAGCTTCTAATCCTTTGGTCTTGATTGCTTCCAAAATCTTCAGACCAAACTGAAAATAAAACATGTTTTCAGCATTGGTTATAACTTACATCAGTAATAAAAAAAATGTTACAGGCTCTCTACAGAGATGCAACAATGGTTCTTAAAAAAAAAAGAGATTTATGATAAAGTTACGTGTAAATTATCAAATGAAACAGTGTCGATTTCTAACAGCTATTATGTTTCTAGTTCATTTATCGTCGAACAATTAAAATCTCTTCCTTACCTCTTTCAAGTTACCAAACTTGTTCTTAATGTATTCAGAGATCTTGTGCAGGTCCAGTTTGCTGAGCAGCTATACAAAAACAAAAACTTTCTATTATGTATTGGCTTTGATTTATTGAAAACGTTCTTCTTTAAATAGTTTTGGAAAAATAATATAGCATTTGTTTCTGATATATTTGACGTATGGTTTTAGCTTGGTTGTTGTTTAAGCACAAAGCTATACAATGAGCTATCTGTGCTGCGGCCACCACAAAACCCGTTTTTTAGCTAATCCGGAAAAAAGTATTTATTATATACATATATATATATGTGTACTATTTTACTAAACAAGTAGGCACGGCTAATCCGGAAAAAAAAGTATTTATTATATCCATATATATGTGTGTGGAAATTTTAATTTTTGATTTCCAGTATTTTCTTTTAAACAAGTAAGAGGGACTAACCTTCTCTTTCATTGTTTCAATCAAGTTTCTCAAATTTAATTTTTCTTTAAGCATGTCCATCAGATCACGTAGACTTCGTTTTCCGATACCCAGTTTATCCAACAAGTTTTTCAGTAGCTCCTTGGCTTTGTCTTTCAACTTATTTAGTAATTCAAGAGTTTTTACGCCAGCATCGATTCCCAAGTTTTTCAATTGATCAGTGATCTCAGCAGCCTTGAAAGAAATTAAATTACTGTCTCTGTATTAAGCAAAAGGATCGTTTAAAATTAGAATAACCGTTGTTACGCAAATCTACAAGTTTAGATAGGAGTACTTTAAAGAAATTTAGATGTTATACAGGGATTTTTTTCTCCAATTAAAACTTAAATAATAAAAATATAGAATCAATGTGAGACTTACTTTGTCAAGGAGGTCCTGGCTAACTTTTTTACCGTTGTCAATAGCATCTTTGATCTTCTCAACAATGTTGTCAAGTGATTCTTTCAAAGTTTTACCAAGTTCCGTCTTAATATCTTCTTCTACCCTATATATATATATATATATATATATATATATATATTATTATATATACTATA